TTCTTTTTTCTTTAATTATAGCTTTAATTGTATTCTATTATATAGTCTTGTAGTTTAAAGTGACTTTAATTGTTTCTGTAAGCCACCTTGAATAGCTCTGTTGGTAGGGAGGTGTGCCACAAATAAAAATAAAGCCAGCAGGCATGTTTTTTTCTGGCGTTTGGCCCATTTAGATACAGCACTGCCCTTTTCCAGGTCAGTTTGGCTTACTCAACCGCCTCCGCCTCCTCCTCCTCCAGCCTTCAGCCCTCAAGTGAAGAGCAGCCTGGTGCCAGGTAGATGGCTTGTGAACAGGGGGGGGAACCCGTCTGCCCTGTGGGGGCTGCGGGGCTGCAGAGTGTTCTGGGGAGCAGTGGACCAGGCCAGCCTGGGCTCAAATTCCCCTCGAAGTGATTTTGGGCAACATGTGTTGCAAGCTGGGAAGTAGTACTTCCCAGGGAAGTACTGGATTGTAGTACTTTAGACTGCTCAGCGCGTTTTGTTGGGTTTCGTTGGTTTGTTTTTTTAGTGCCGTCCTACATGCAAAATGTATTGCAAGTAAATAGTGCGACTTAGAGCAAGCAGAGCCTGTTGTCTAAAAGTTGAGCTGGTTGTGTGTAGCACAGAAGAGTTCACAGGGAAGGTTCTGGTGTGCCTCTCTTGTGCTGAGCAGGTACTGCTGCTTCTGTGTGAAGCTGGGGGTCAGAACTGAGATTGTTCTGTCTCCGTCTGCCTGCGGATGGAGACATACTGCCTGGTCTCAAGCATCTGCCATTCAAAGGATGCTGCTGAAGTCCTTTGACCCCATGGAATCTGGGAGCGTGAACTGAGAGGTGGCGGTGCTGTACTTTGGGGCCAGAGCCCTGAAGTCCAAGGAGCTTCCAAATGACCAGGCAGCGAGCAGAAGGCAATGAAGGATGGCACCAGGGCAGCAGGAGCAAATCTTGTTGTACCTGTAGGCATGGTGGCACTACGATTTAAATGAATTAAAATGCAAAAATGCACACCTCAGGACATTTACACAGACACGTAATTGGGACTGGTAAAAAGTTTCATTGTTCTTCTATTGTAGCAGGGATAGAGAAGCATTTGTAGAGCATAGGATGGCGATGGTGTGGGGAAAGAGAAATGCCAGCTGTACTACATAAAGCTGCTTAGAGTGGAGGCCCCTGAGATGGTTCTGTCCAGGGTCTAACCCAGTTGCATCACTGCTGAAAGAGCTCTGCAACTCAAGTAGCTCCTCTCTTGCAACAGGGAGGAAGTAGAAGACAGCTGCATGAAAGGCCAGTCAATGCGAGCAAACTGCACCTGTGCTTTGTGATCTGCACTGACTTCCGCTTCCTTTCTGAACTAAATTCAGGATGATGGTTTTAACCTTCAAGTTGTGAACAGCTTAGGGTCTGCTTATGTGTAGGATTGCCTCCTCCCATCCATAAGTACCTGGACGCTGAGGTCGCCATTGGAGGCCCTTCTCAGAGTGCCACTGCCAAGTATGTTCTGGTGGGTGGCCATCAATACCAAGAGGGCTTTCTCCAGAGGGGCTCCCAAGAGAGGCTTGCCTGGTACCTTCATTACCTGGTGCTGGAAGGAATGCAAAACCTCTTTAATTATCCCAGGCCCTTTATGGGCTTTATTACATTTTTTTAAAGTTCTTTGGCTTTTATGGCTTTAGGACTTGTCTGCCCTGTTTTTATTGATCCATGTCTACTAGGATATTTACATGATAATTATATTTTTATTGCTGAGTGCGCGCTTAAAAATGTGGTGTATGCCGTTTTTGGAACTTCCATTGTGGGATGGTATAAAAATACCACTGCTGGTGCTGACAATGACATAGGACTTTCCCCTCAACAGCTTGAATGCTAAGATAAATTAAGTCAAGGAAGTTAAGTTAGTATTATGTTCCATTTTGCTGTATTTATGGTTTCAGTTTTTGTGAACTGCTTGCAGAACTTTGCTTATTGGGCAGTATAGAAATATAAAAATGAAATTAAGCTGATGGGAGAAACTTTTCCATAACCCCCTTACTTCCTGTACTTATCTGTGCTGCCCAGAAAGCCTTTCGGAAGGGGCACGGTATGGGGAGCCTTACAAACAACATGAGATAGCCAGCGAAGGACTTCTGCGGAAGGGGAATTAGCCCCAAATTGATTAGCTTGCTGCCTCATCTCACATGATTTGGGATGCACCCCAGCCAGAAAGCCTTGCGGGTTGAGGAACATGGCCTTCCCTTCTGTGAATGTCTTTAAGTTATCTTATGACCCAAGTCATAATGTCACAGACTTTGAGAGTAGAGCAACCACATGGGGCATTCCCTAAGAATGACAAGAAGAGGCTGATGGGTACCCAGATCCCCATGACAGCTCCTTGATTGTAGCAAGATTCTCTTTAGAGAAACCTGAAGTCACCCAGGATTTATATTTTTGATCTGTGGGGAAGGAAACACAAGACAACTTCACACACACACACTAATGGTTGTGACAGACCTGGGAAGGCCTTACTCAGGTATACATTAACCCAGTAAGTTAGGTTGACTAGAAATTCAGTGCTGACTCAGTCTAACAGGGATCAGGTTCTGATTTAGGTCTGTCTGACTGTCCTACAAGCAAATGCCTTTCTTCTTGATTAGCTCACTGCACTTCTCCCCAACTCATAGACTTCACTTGACTATTTTTACTATGCAGCCATTCTTCTTGTTTCCACATTAGTTCTTTTTGTTGTATTTGTATAATTTTTTCTTGACCATAAGCTTTTATTCGTTCTGGAGAAGGAGCATTTGTTTAGTAAAGAATGCATGATTAAAAAGAAAAGAGAAAGACAGGCCCATGTTACCCAGAAGAATATGTTGTGGGAGCATCCTATGCCATAGGAATGTCCAGGAGATTCTTCTTCTGCTGCAAAAGGTGAAACTCTGTGGAGCAGAGGTCCTTGCTCCCAACTTTTTGACTAGTCTTTTTTTTCTTTTTTCAAGAATCTTGGTAAAATTGCTGGTGGCCCATGGATGTGCTTCCTGCCAGAAAAGCTCGGTTCCCTTTTGCCCATTTCTGTATGTTTTTGCTGTAATTGCCAAGTCTTCCAAGCTGAGCACCAGGAGCACTCACTCCCATGTGGAACGAATCCTTGCAGAGGCCTCGCAAGACCATTGGACATTGTCCCGGTTTTACAGAAGTGAGTCCAGGATCAAGGACATGCGTTAAGACTTGAACTTATCCAGGTTCAAACCCAGAGGCGTTTTCCACAGATTTCTTCCCCATGTGTCCATTCTTGGACGCCTGAGTCAGTGGTCGTAACCCTGACCTCTCCTTGGGGAAGGACATTCCAGTGCACGCTGTTCCCAAGATTCCGTCCATGCGCACAAATTGTTCCCAGGTGTTAGGAGCCACCGCTTGGCATGTGAACTGGGCTGCTGGGCACTGTGGTGTGGCCAGGGTTTGATTATAGAAATCTGCCAGTTTTCAGGGTGCTACAGGACCTTGTGTGTGTGTTTGTGTGCACCCACACGTGTGTGTGCGTGTGCTTTGAAGGCCACCATTGTTGAAGAATGTAATTTATAAATGTATTTTTAAAGATAGATGTGCCAGAAACGGACTGCTTTTAGGGGAGGGAAGATTCTAAAGTCTTCTGTATTCATTAAATTAGAAATAAGAACAAATCTGGAACAAGTACAAGGAAAATATTATGCTATCACGCTCACCATTATGCCTAGTTACTGAATTAGAAGGGTTTCCATTAAATTTAAGGGAATTTTTAGGAAAAATGCTAAGGAATAAGCCAATATTTAGATTTTTAAAATTGGCTAGAGAAATACTTTTTTTCTCGATTTGTAACATGTCTGATTTGGTCCTGCTGGTGAGGAGCACTGTACTGTAAGAATTATTTTAATTGTATGTTTAACTTTATGTTTTTGTTTTTAAATGTAGGAGTTTTTGGTTGTATTTTAGATTGAAAATCAGTTAATTAAATTAGAAAAAAGCAAGTTGCGTGTCTCCTCGCCACCTTTTAAAGCTATTTCAGTGTACCACAAATTATTAACTTGAGTATGTGTGAACGGAGACTAATAAATTTTGTGACTTATTTACAAGCCTCAGCTAAGAATTATGGCAGGAGTGATGGAACATGAGGTGAGATGTCTTTCAGATGCTTGTAGGGCACAGCATGTCTGATTTGCACAATCATGGAGCGGTGTGCGTGGGCACTCGTTAAGATCCTCTGTACAGACTAAGTAAATGACCGGAGGAAGGCCGTTAGCCAGTTCTGAAGGACTTGTTCTCTCATAGCAGCAGGGCTCCCTCTGTGCTCCCATCTGGACAATGGAGTGTCTTCCTTGCCTTCCGCCCCTTGCTGCCCTCTGTTCTGTATTTAGTAAGCTGCATCATCTTGAAAGTGAGACCTCGGTCAAAGGATGCGACCAGAGAGGTGCCAGGCTGTCCCTAAATTCCCCTGGTAAACTCTTGGGATGGGGAAATGAGGAAGGCGAGGCTGCATGGTGCACCACTCCAGCTATAGCGCGCACGCGCACACACACACACACACACACTCCGAGGGGTGGGGGGGAGAGAGAGAGCGCTTCAGAGACAGGCAGTATAGAAATGTAATAATAAATATTAATAATAATCTACAGTCATTTGAATAACAGCCCCGCATAGGACTGTGATCCTCGTTTGTTGGATCATAACCTTGTGAGCTACCTTTTCATTTACCCAGGTGTTGTGCTCACCTCTGCCATGACATTCTGTTGTTACTCTTCATGGTCTCTGTGCATCACACCTACTGCGTACGTCACTGCTACTGGAGGTATCACATTGTATACAGACAAATGATTCAGCAGCTGTTTTGAAATCGATTTAAAATGGGCTGCTCTCCCTAGGCACAGATTAGCGCCTTCTCTTGCCACTTCCATCGCTACCTGTCCTGGGGCTTCATTCCTCGTGCCAGTGCTGTCCACCCCCGACTCTCAGTCTCAGGAGCAGCCTGTCCGGCCAGGCTGCTCTGCCCGCTCACTTCGCATGCCTCTTTTCCAGGGAGGCCCTCCCGGTGGAGCTCGACCATGTCGCTCTCAGTGCGGCCCCAGCGGCGCAGTCTGGTGGTCAGGATCAATAGGAGCCAGTCCTTCGCTGGAGTCAACTCCCCCCAGGACAAATCTCACAGGTAGGCCCGGGCTTGGGTTGCGTTGGAAGCTGCCAGTCAAGTGCGTGCGTTTCTGTGATGGCTGCGGTGAGTCAGGGGTCTCCCATGCACGGCATTTCTCAGCTGTCAGCCCACTCTGCTGACCCCGTAACTCCTTACTATGCCTGTGGATTTCTTTGGTAGGACTTGCCTTGCGTTTCGCACACCGACAGTCTCCAGGAAGTCTGGCTCCAGAGTCAGTAGGATGTTTTCAATGTCCCACAAGTCCCCTCCACCCAAGGTTCCCCAGCCAGAGCGACTTGACGAAGTGCATGAAGCTCTAAAGAAGGGGCTGACGTAAGTTGCTGCGGCATCCGGCAAGCTCTTCCCTGCCGGGGTTTGCTGACGGTGGGGGTGCTTTGTTTATTTGTTTAGAATATTTTGTGCTGTATTTCTGTGGCACTTTGGTGTGTGTTTCTGATGGCTGACTGGAAACAGCATTAAATACAGATTCACTAGCAGTGCCAAGCCAACGACATGAGCGAAAGCACATCTCTTAAAAGCAGCAGTAAAAACATCCCTGGTTGGCCATGCACTGTAACAAACGACAACCATAACTAAAAACAAAGAGGTCTAAAAGCAGTCAGCTGAAGGCTTGGGCACATGAGACATTTTCCCTAGTGTCTGCAAGATAGCAGACTAGGTGCTGGGTGGATCTCCCTTGGGAAAGCGTTTCATCATCAAGGTACAACCACTTGGGGAGTTTAGTGATGATTTAAGTTGAGTGTCTCCAGAGCGGGGTATACAACAGTATTTCTTCCCATGGATGGAAGTGTTTACATGCCTGCGTGCCTCTTTGCTTCCCCTCCGGAACCCATGCATGGCTAGGCGACACACGCACAGTCTGTTTGCTTAAACACGGTCTGTCAGCGCCCCCCACCCCGCCCAGCTAATATTGTGCGCCAAAACCTCTGCCAGGCATAGCTCTACTTGGCACAGGCTGCTGGGAAGCTGTCCCAGGTCTTTGCTGCCAAGGGCAACATCTTGCAGGAGTGGTGGCAGCTTGAATGGGGGTCCAGGCTACTGTCTCCCCTCATCTCCACAGGAGAGAAGGAAGGGTCTTGCTCCTTCTGTGCTTATTCCATTTTCTCCCTTCAGTGCATATCTGGAAGTGCACCAGCTGGAGCTGGAAAAGCTGAGCACCCAGATCCGTGAGTCCAAGAGGAATTCTCGCCTGGTGAGTGAAGGATTGGGATGGACCGAAAACATGCCTGCCTTGAGGGTGTGCTTTTAACTCCCTTGGAGTGTGGGATGGGGGACTTCAGAGGAAGGGGGAGAGAAGGGAGCCTTCTCGGAGCAGCCTCCACCATGCAGCTTCGCAAGTGCTTCTGCCTTGCTCCTTTTCTTCATGCTCTCTGTGCATCACACATATGGGCTCTGTGCCTGCGTGGAGCCTGTTGCCGGCAAGCCTGGGCCTCCCCTTCAGAACAGCTGAGCGCTAGTTTGGGTGGGAGCCCCTCCCCTCCTTGATCTCTGCATCCATGGGGCAGCACGGGGGGCTTCTTTCCATCCACCCAGTTCCTTTCTGACCACCTCCATGCCTAGACTGGGATGTGGTTCTTTCATCAACTTAATTTTTTTCCCAGCAATTTTTTTTCTTTCTACCGCTTTCTACCGCTTGACTCCCTACTGAGCCAACCGTCTCTCCATGAACTTCGTTTTCACTCTTTACTTCTAAAATTCGACCCCCCCCCCTTTCCTACCTGCTTTCTCTCTGGTCTTTTGTGTCCTTCTACCAGTCCTTCCTCCATTCTTTGCCCTCTGCCTTCCCCATCTGCCATAATGGAATCAAAGGGACCCTTCAGAAAGTGTCCATTATGTGGGTAAACCCCCCTCCTGCATGGACAGATACTCCCTCTGCCTTTCTGTTTGGGTGAACATCACTGGATCATGCCCACGTTGCTGGGCCTTCGCAAAACAGGCCTGGAAGCATGGGGCCAGTTGACTGGGGGCCGGATCCTGGAAGCTGCAGATTCCAAATGCCTGATGGCATGGCCAGGAATGCGCGCAAGCTTGGGGGAAAAGATGGCTGCTGCAACAGGTGGAAGTGTAGATGCCATGACAGCCCCCATCTACCATCTCTGCCAAGGGCCTGGTCAATATCAAGAGTGCTTGGACCCAAAAGACAGTTCAGCTCAAGAGGGGAGCCACATCTACCAGGGACCCTGGCCAGTCCCAAGAGTTCTCAGACCCAAAAGATGATTCAGTCCCAAGAGGGAACCCCTGTCTGTGGTTGACACCAAGGACCTGTTTGATCTCAGAAGAGCACTCGGACCCATGAGACCATGTGTTGCCTAGACAGCCCCCATCAACCACCAATGCTGAGGAACGCTCAGTACCAGCAGATGCTGAGAGAGCCCCTGTCAGCCATCAACACTGAGGCTGCTTGGTACTGAGCCTTCAATATCAAGACAGAGGCCCTCTCAACCATGAACTCCAAGGGCCTTTCAGTACCAACAGATGCTGAGAGATTCCCCCATTGACATGTGGCACCTTGATCCTGAGACAGAGGCCCTGTCAACCTTCAACGCAGGGCCACTCGATTCCGAGAGACTATTCACTACTGAAGAGAGCTCCAGCTGACCATTGATACCGAGGGCCACTCACTGAGGCAGAAGTCCTGGCAACCTTTGACACAAGGGCTATGTGATGCCAAGAGACCATTTGGTACTAAGAAAGTGCTCGGATCCAAGAGAGCAGTCAACCTGAGAAGGAACCCCTGTCTACCATCGGCACTAAGGCCCAGTTGCATCATCAGCCCCCATTGATCCCGAAGGGGTTCCAGGGCATTCTGCAAGGGAAACTTGCAATTTTCAATCTTGAGGGGCCATCCAAATCTACCAACCTTGAGATCCAGTGGCCGTCAGGGACATTCATTCCACCTTTAAGAGGTCATGGTACCAGCCAGACAATACCAATGGCTATCTTTGATGCCACCAACCCTGAGACCAAGAATGCCCTCTTCATTGTCGGATCCCAAGGATTATGTGCCCAACTCAGACCCAGACGCAGTACTGTCCACCTTCTCATCTGATGTAGCCATTGCCACGTAGGACCCAGTGCCTCCATTGGAGAAGATGGGCGGCTTCTCCAAACAGGTCCTGCAAATGGCGAATTCTCTCAATCTCTAAACACAGCAGCCTGGAAGACAGAGTCATGGAGCCCATCTTTGACCCCACCCACACGGAAGACTCAGCTCCACTGGCAATACCATTCCTGCCCACACCAGTGCAGGTGCTCCAGTAGATGTGGACGGTCCTTAAAGCAACACATGCCACCTCACATGGTTTGAGAGCATGTATTGCGTCCTGGAAAGAGACATCCTGTTCCTCTTTCGGTTTTCATTGAACCTGCACAGGTCCTAATGTAATGCCAGCCTTGGCACCAGCCGACTGGGAGGACAGATGCCTGGACAGTCTGGCGAAACAGGTCTGTGTGGGTTCAGCGATCCGCTTCTGAGTCTCCAAATGCAAGGCTACCATGGCCGCCCCCATGCTGAGTGCCACTGCTGACCACTCTCACTGCTCTCCCCGCCAATCTTGCCAGATATTTCTTTCTGTTTCTTCCTGCATGGTAGGGATAACATCTGACTCCTGGGTCTTATGCATCATGGAGAGAGGCTACCAGTTAGTTTGATGCTATCTCACCTCTCGATATCGTAAGGTGCATGGCTCTGTCCCTGAGGCTGATGTTGGAGGTTAAATCACTCCAAGGGGAACGATAAAGAGAGTCCTTCATCCCAACCTTTCCTAAGGCTTCAGCTTTCACTACTTCATGGTACCAACATGAGATGGGGACCCAGACTGATCCTGGTTCTCAGGGGCATCAATTGCCTATCACACGAAGGAAGTTCGGGAGGGTCAGCCTCCAGAACATCCCACCTTTCCCACAAGGAGGGTATGGATTCACCTCAACTAACTTGAAAGGTGCCCCTTCCACATTACCATAGATTGCCATTGTTGATGCTTTTTATGCTTCCAAATTGCAGGTGAGATGTTCCAATCTTTGTACTCCCTTTTGGGCTTTCAACTACCCCCAGGACCTTCACTAAATTCATGGCAGTGGTCTGCTTACCCATGGATGCAGGGAAGAGGAAGGGGAGGGGTTAGAGTTGAACTAACTAATGCTTAGCTGTAGAAACCTGCCACCATGCAGACACAGAGCCATCTGTGTGAATGCACAGGTGACAACTCAAAGAATGACAGTCCCAGGTAAGCAACCTGACTTTCCTGTAGCCACTCTGATGCTGTGGGCATCTGTCCTGGGGACTGGGCTTGCCATACTAGTGTCTAGCATGCAGGATGGCCATCTCCCCACACGTCCCACACAAAACACTCCTCCTGGGAAGCGGGGCCACCCCTTGTTGCCCTGATAACAGTGGGCATAGCCCCGGTCTTTTGGCAGTGCCAAGCACGGGGTCGTGCGTTCAGCAATCACTTCTGGTGCCTGTGCCCAGCTGAATCCCTCCTTTTTCTGTTCTTTTCCAGGGCTTTCTCTACGACCTCGATAAGGTAAGCTGTACTAAAAAGGAAGGGGTAGTTTCCAGGGACTGTGGCCGAGTAGGATAGGCCTGACCACCTGTGTGGCCTGCATGTCCATCAGACAAGACCTGGAGTGTCTTCCGAGGCGTCAGCAAAGGCACTTTCGTCATGCTGCTCTTTCGTCTTCCTGCCTTCCAGTCGCATCCTGGATCCTTTGTCCCAGTGGCCAGCAGTCCAAGCAATATTCAAGGGACTGGCTGGGGACATGCGAATGGTCCAGCAGCTTTGCCCCCACTGGCTCTTCCCAGGGGCCAGGCTGCTTTGGATTCAAAAACAAATAACACAATGCTGAAGGGTGGGGTGGATGATATCCCCCCCCCCCCAGAGGGTTGAAATCGGTTCAGAAGAGGTATCGCTCCTTGTGTGTTCACGCGATCCTCCTTTTTTGTGCCTGGCAAACAGGTTTTGCATGTTTTTAAAAAACTGCTTGTAAAACATGCAAACGCCATTAGGCCAAAAGGTCCAGAGACATAGCTGAACACCAGCGGAAGCAACACTCCTCTTAAAAGACTTGCAGGCAGTGGTGTGTCTGGTCAGGATGAGCTGCGGCAGCTCTGAGTGGTCCAAGAGAACACGGGGAACAGCAAGCAGAACCTTTGGCCTTCGCCTGCATCCTGGTTTTCCTGGGCACTTTTGATTCAGCCATGCGCTGGCTCTTTGAGGAAATAACGTTGCCAGGGAAATACGGAATGGGCAACTGGTCAAACAGGTGATGCATATTGTGTGTAGCGGTGTCTTTTTCTTGCTTGTTTGAGAGCTACTCCTTGGATTTCTTTCTTTCCAATAATTAACATCAAAGAAATCGACACTAGGCATAGGAGTTCCCAAAAATGCTAACTGGATGGGGAAAAGACGGTTATGAGCCTTATTATATTTTTAATATGCATCCTACTACCTACCATAAGCAGTGAAGAATACAGGAAAGCCTAAAAGAATATAACCATGCCGTTTCTTCATGAAGCCCCTTCCAACCTCCCTGTCAACCATGAACAATTTTCTAGTACCTATAAAACAGCACCTAAGGGAAAGCCTAGGGGAGCACTGTGATTAACCCATCCTAAACAGTAGTTCCTTGGCTTTAACCCCCCCCCCCCCGTATTCCCGTGAACATTCATACCAAAACAGATCAGCAAAAGAGCCGTGTACAGTGCCTTACTGACTTACCCATTCCCACTTCGACTTTGCCACATTTTGTAGTGTTACAGCCTGAAATTGAAATGGATTTAATTGGCACTGTTACCCCCGATCTACCCAAGGTACTCAACATGATGAAGGTGTACATTATTTTGATTGTGGCACAAAAATTAAGTTAAAAAACAGAACAGTCTGGCTCTTGTTGGTCTTGTGTACATCAAAGGGTAACTAAGCCAATTAAATTCATTCCTGTTGCATAACAAAATGTGGGAACTTCAAAGAGCAGGGATGAAAACTGTAGTTTTTTGCACTAATGCAAACTGTCGCTCTCTCTCAGAGGCCCAGGCCTTCCCATTGCCAGCTTGGGAACATGGAGGACCTATGAGGTCCTGCTCTCTCTTGCCAGTTGGATTTCCCCTTCCTTTCTAATGGGATTTTTATTATTTTACAGCAAGTCAAGTCGACCGAGCGGTTCCTCCGCCGTCTGGAGTTTCATGCTAGCAAGGTACCTGCCACTTCTAAGTAGGGTATCGCAAAGAATGTCTGTGCCAAGAACAGATGAATGTTTTGCAGCCTTTGTTAAACAATGCCATTCGAGTAGGTGTGCATGTATTCGCTAATTTTCTGTAGGCGAGGCAGGGAGCCATGCCGGAAATGGGAGTTACTGGCCTCACAGCTAGGAATCCTGCTCAACCTCACCTCTGGCTTCCACGATTGCAACAGGCATTGCAAGCCATGAGGGCTAGAATTTTTATTTTTAAAGGTCAGGTGCGGGGGAGCCTTGTGCCTCCTCTACCAGTTTCTGCTCTTGCAGATCACAACTTATTCCTTCTTTGCTTACTCTAGCATTTTTCAGGAATCCCTTGAATAAAAATGCAAGTTGAGTTTCTATGTCCCCCAGGCTCAGCACTGTGTGCTCTCCCGTTCTAGTCATTTAGGAGTTCGTGTGTGTGCATGTGTGTACATGTACTAACGCTTTGTGGTGTTTTCCTTAATGCCTTTGCTAATTTTGTAGAGAAGGAAATGCTCTGAATATAAAAAGCTCCCTTGTACCAGGTCAGACTACTTATTTGTGTAACGCAAAATGAACTACTTTGACTGGCCTTTGCTTTCCAGGGTCTCATTCCGGGAAGACTTTTCCCCATCACTTGTTATCCAGAGTTGCCAGGGATTGAACTTAACACCTTCCTTATTTACTTATTCATTTTAGACCCCACCTTTTAGTAATCACAATAGCTAACAGCACAAAAAGACAGCATTTAAAATTAAAACACATAAGAAAACAATAACAAAATATATTAAAAGCACAACAGGAAAAGAATGAAAGCAGCATCCAAGGCCACCGGCTAGTTTACGCACCAAAAGCTGTCTTTCTCTGCCACCAGAAGGACGGCAAAGAGGAACTCTGCCTGGCCTCTCCTGGTATGGAGTTCCACAGTTTGAGAGCAGCCCCTGAGAAAGCCCCCTCTTGTGTTCCTGCCTAGCCAGCCACTGATAATAGCAGCACTGAGACAGGAGCTTAAAACCCAGGCAGGTGTGTTTGGGAGCAGGCGGACTTTCAGAAATGCTGGTCTTGAGTTGTGAGGAACTTCGAGTTGTGCCCAGCAGCAGACTAGAAGTCAGCAAAGCCTCTGCAGCAAGGGAGCGTCACCCCCTGTCAGGTGCAAAGCACGTGCTTTTCAACCAGCCTACAGTCAGAGAAACAAAATTGGCAGGGAGTGTTCACTGGGACATGATGCGGCATGCTGGGATTGCAGTTCTCCTGGAATCTTGACTGGTTCCAGGATCGTGGCCACTCTGCATCCTGCTAAACCTCCCTGTTAGCCCCACTCTGTCGGTTTTGCTTTGACAGATTGATGAACTGTACGAGTCCTACTGCATCCAACGACGGCTCCGGGATGGGGCCCACAACATGGTCAAGGCCTACACGGCCGGCTCACCTGGCAGCAAGGAGGCCCGTGAGAGCCTGGCTGAAGCAGGCAAGGGCTACAAAGAATACACGGAGGTAGATCGAGGCCGCAGCACGCCAAGGAAGATGTGGGAGGAGGGCAGGCTGGGTTTCTCGGTTGGTGGCCTTAACAGGTGTGATGTCTTCCCCTCCAGAACATGTGCCTGTTGGAGAGCGAGCTGGAAAGCCAGTTGGGCGAGTTCCACATCAAGATGAAAGGTATCAAAGGACACGCAAACATGGCAAATGTCAGGAACCTCTCGTGGCTGTTCTGGGGAGGCAAGGAAGCCTAGAGAGGGGAGGCTCCTTCTCCACTTGCCTGCTGTGTGCTTGTCCGCTTCTTTTTTCAAATATGTTTGGCCGCAAGAGCAGCCTGGAGCCCCCCAAGAGGGGACCCCTGGGGAGAGGCATCCTGAACCCCCTCCCACCACCTGTCATTTATGTGGGTTGGCCAACCTGGGGCTGCTCTGAGCTCACAAGAGAGGTTTGGTACCACTCTAAACTTTTATTTCTCTTGCAGGATTGGCCGGTTTTGCCAGGCTCTGTGCTGGTGACCAATATGAGGTTTGTGAAGGAGAGGTGGATTCAGACGATACTTCTGTTTAGGGGGCGGTGGCAGGTGCGGGGGGCAGGGCACTTGGATTCTGCCATTTGGAGAGAGTGCGGGAGATGACGAGACTTTTCCGGTGGCAGAACAAGCGACTGGCATTCACTGTCCTGCAGCTTGGCTCAACAGCACGGGAGAGAAGCTTAGTCCATTTCCTCTGTGATGAGCTGGATTGGGCCCCTGCCCCATGCATTCCTCTGCTCCCTCTCTGCAAGAGGTGTATTGACTCGGCTGGCTGGGCTTACGAGCAGGTTTCTGAGAACCAGGTGGCTCTCGGCCACTCCCTGTCCGGCTGAGCCCAGCGCCTCTCTCTCCCTGGTGGCAGATCTTCATGCGGTACGGACGCCAGCGATGGAAGCTGCGGGGCCGCATTGAGGCGAACGGCAAGCAAGTGTGGGACAGCGAGGAGATGATCTTCCTGCCCCTCATCACAGAGTTCCTGTCGATCAAGGTAAGCTGCGTGTGTCTCCCTCCTCCAGAGCGTGGGCCCGAGGCGAGGCCTCTCCGGCACTCTTGCCCTACCGTCTTGCGTCTCCCCCAGGTGACGGAGCTCAGGAGCCTGGCCAGCCACGTTGTGGTGGGGAATGTCTCTTGCGAGACCAAGGACCTGTTTGTGGCGCTGCCTCAGGTGGTGGCCGTGGATATCAATGACCTGGGCACCATCAAGCTGAGTCTGGAAGTGAGCTGGAAGTGAGTGCCGTCTTTGCTTCTCGGCTGAGCAGCCATGTTGGGGGATGCTGACGGGGGACAGCGGGAAGGGCTGAGGCAGCAATTGGTGTGTTTGGTCAGGGGAGGAGAGAGGGGCCGTAGTGCTCTAGCCCACCTCTTCCCTTCCAACGCTCCGGCTCCCATCATCCCTAACCTGAAGAGTGGTTAAGGAGATCGTGTGTTTTCCTGTCCTGGGGCTTCCTCTTCCAGCAACTAATGGGGAAGGAGGTTGCACGTTTATTCTCTAACCGGTGTCTCTTCCTCTGAGCAGCCCATTTGACAAAGAGGACCAGCCATTATCGGCCAGCACTGTCAGTAAGACATCCACCGTCAGTAAGAGGCTGTCAACCTACAACCAGAGCCCACCGGACACGCCCTCCATGCGTGAACAGGCCTTTTATGTGAGTGCTCCTTTGGGCTGGGCAGCAGGGGGGGCTCGTTCCATCCCCCTCCCCAACCTCCACCAAGGATCTGGAGTGGGTAGAAGCCACTAAGTGGCTGTGCAGATCCGTTATTTACATTTGTGTTCTGGTATCCAGGAGTTCTTAAATCCAAGCCGTTCACAGGACTGAACATTTTAGCATTAGTGCAAATGCATTGTCTGCTTCTAGACAGTTCTCTGGATGAGATTTTTCACAAACATACTTGTGGCTTATGTTAGCGTCCAGTGAAGTTAAACAATGCGTAGTTCCTTGGCTGGTCAGTGACCATAAATGAGATGACATTTCACCCTTCTGAATCACAAGCGATTCTTTTAGTCACTGCTCTACCAGCTAAATAACTCTATAGAGCAGGTCCTGTTTTCATCTGGGCTGAAGCTTCCGTTTTCTCAAAAGTGTTAATAATCACAAAGTAATTACGAATGTTGTCCTTGATACTCAAGTAATGGGAGGTAAAGCAGCAAATGTTGAAAATATGTTGACAGTTCTGTACCGGGAATGTTCTAGAGGCACAAGGAATTTGGTATTCGCTGACTCAGTTCACACATAAACTTAGGTTTAAATATGATTACAACTGTTATTAGACTGAGAGATTTAAACCAAAGTTTATTTGACCAAGAGCAAACATTTTGTCTCTGTAGTCCCTCCTCCCTTAATGCATTACTGTCAGATTGGTACCACAGTATCATCTTAAATTTGCTTTGGAAAACTGATTTACCCTTTCAGTAGACTTCTGGCCGCAAACCAGGATTGAGCTGTAGTTTGTAAATGAAGCCTGACTCAAAAGTTCTTGATTTGGGTGTCACAGGAACAAAGGAACAAACAAACCCTGGAGGTATTTCCGTGAAGGGGTGGGGAGAGCAGGTGGGCACAGCACCTTCTCTTTCTTCATCTAGCAAACCCTTGTTCATCAGACCAAGACAGGTGCCTCTGAGCCAGGCCTCTGCCTCAAGGTAGAAACACTGAGGACATTTAAGGAAAGGGTAGTGGGGAGAGACATCTGCTTATGGGTTAGAGCTGCCATTTCAGAGAGGCTGAATGGGAACGGTCTGTCTTCAGGCTGTGAAACCTCCCTGGGATCCTGCTAGAGGACCGTGCTTGGCCTCCAGGCTAGAGACCCAGAGGGACCCTTGCGGTTCCTGGAGAATTTCCTTCTGGAATCACAGACTGGAGACAACAGTGGACTGGCGAGGGACTGGGAGGTGCGGTTGCAACACACGGCGAGAGCAAGTGTGGCCTGATGGTGAGAGTGCCGGACTGGGGATCCACCAGATCCAGGTTCCAGGCCCCGCCTGGCCACGAAGTTCACGGGTGACTCTGGGCCAGTTGCTCACGCACAGCCTGGCTGTTGCGAGCTGAGTTTCCCCCATCCATTTCAAACAACAGGCAAGAGAGTTCTTTATTTCCAAAGCACATCTGACAAACTATAGCCAAGCGCTTCGTTGAACCTGAACTAGAAATGGCTTCGCAGAACCTTCTTTTCGGAAGCTGTGGGCTCCACGCCTCTGGAGAAGGGCTGACCCCTGGATCTACTCGGGCTCGGCTTGGGGAGTCCACGGGGCCAGCGACTGGGCCAGGCTTGATGTCCTCCTTTCCCTCGCCCCCTGCCTTTGCTCCCCAGCCTGTCTCTTCCCGTGCTCTGCCAGAACACCTGGAGGCAGCGGCCTTGGGACACCGGACTCCCCCCACCCCCGCTCCCTTGACCCCACACGCCCTGTTTCCCAGCCATCACATTCCTCATCCGAAGAGTCGGGGCAACCCCGACCCAGGAAAGCACGCCGAGAATAACTGCCTCTTTGAGTCCCAGCACTAGCCTACCTGGCACGGTTGTTGTGTAGATGCAACATGACCGTGTGAGCCACCTTGAAGGCAGGCTGGAAAGGCAGTGCAGCAGCAGCAGCCAGAGGCTGGGGCCCGTGGGGAGCAGTGGGGCCCTGGTGCGAGGAACATGCTGCTGCCGGGCGCAGACCTGCGAGGGGCTCGGGTCCAGTGCCACGGGTGCTGACGGTCGCCTCTTTCTCTGCCCAAGAGCCTGCCCTGGGAGGCTGCCCCCAAGCAGAGGCGGGCCTTGCTGGACATCTTCCGGGAGACGCTCCTGGACAGGCTGCCTCGGAGCTGCTCCTGCAGCGATGTCTCCTCAGAGCAGCTGGGCACGCGGGCGCCGCAGGGTCGTGTAAGTGCCGCTCCCGGCCTAGCCTAGCCTAGCCTAGCCTAGCCTAGTCTAGTCTCCCGAGGCAGGGGTGGCTGCACCCTGCTCCTGCGTGCCCCTCGCTTGCACCCGGAGCCGGGGAGGGTAGGGGGAGCCTCCCCGACTCGCAAGCAACCTGCCCCCGCCCGCTTGCTGCTCTGTGGTGGCCGTGTGCTGGTGTGCAGCTGCCCTAGGCCTAGGCCTAGGCCCCGCCTCATCCTGTGTGTTGCCCTGCGTGACTTCCCCGCACCGATCGGCCTTCTGCACAACCATCCGCCTGTGCACAGCCCTGATACGTTATGTGGCTGGGGCTTGGGGGCTGCAGGTGGGGTCTCTCTCCTGGATGCTAGCTAATGGAGGGCACCCACCACTAGATTTAGGGTATTTCCGCATCAGAACAAGTATCTCAAGACGGGAAGAGCCATGCTTTTGCAGGGTCTTGTGCTACATTCCTCCATCTGGATCACGCCACCGGGAGGGAACTAAGAATTTTCCCTGCCCCGCCTCTTTGGCTAGCAGAATTGGCGCCGTTGTGACACGCCTTGTGGCAAATAACACTGACTGTCCCCCCAGTGCCCCCATCCTTCAGTGACTCACAGAGGGAAGGCAGCCAGGAGCTGCGCAGTGTTAGACCGTGTTCCTGGAAGTGTACTGTATAAGTCACGGAAATCCACACGCTATTTTCCATGCAACTCCTGCAGGATCCTATGTCCCCTTACTCTGCGGTGTGTCTGGCTGCCCTATGAAGATGCAGACAGACCCTCCCTCCCTCCCTCCCTCCACACCACCTGCAGCTGCCCCCTCCTCCTCTTGTGTGAGGAGAAAACAGAGCAGCCTGGATGGGTCAGGTTGAGGAGGAGGAGGAGGAGGACAGCGGCAGAAGGTAGGAAGGCCGGCAGGCAGGCAGGTGTGTGCTTGTGTGGGTGGAAGGGAGCGGTGTGTGTGGCCAGGCGGCCACCTTGGGGGCTTGTCCTTGTGTGTGCACTGGGGAGCACACTGTGCTTTTGTGTAAGGGAGGCCAGCATGAGCTGTCCTGGGCCAACTGGTTTCTCCAGGTGGCAGGTCAAGTCCTAAAATGGGAAGTGAATGTCAGGTGCTGAAGGAGTCCCTGTTCTCCCCCCAGAGCAGACAGTCGCTCCATTATCTGGCTCCTTCCCGGTCAAAAGGGTGCCCCCCTAAGTGTGGCTGCTGGATGGAATGGGGTGGGTGCAGCTGCGCCCGCCTGGTGCAAGGAGGGGGTGCATCACAGCCTCTCCTGGGGGCGCTGGTGGCAGGGAGGGGCGAAGGGAGGGCAGGGCCGAGGGCAGGGCCGGGAGGGAGCGCGTGGGCTGGGCCGGGGTGCTGAAGGAAGCGCCCTGCGTGCACGTGGCTTTGTGCTCGCTCGCCTGCATCCGCCGTCTCGCGGCTTCTCTCTAGAACATGTTGCGGCAACAGGAGGACTTGGAGAACGGGGCAGCCTGGTCCATCTCCTCGGAGTCCTCGGACGATTCCTCCAGCCCGCAGCTGTCGGGGGGCACCCGGCACACGCTGCCCAGCCCGCTGGTGCACCCCGCCGTGCAGGCCGCTGCCCCAGCCATCGAGATCGCCTTCACCCGGCCCGAGGACAGAGAGCCGCCCGCCCTTCGGGAGGAGGCGGCCGTGGCGAATGGACACGTGCCCTATGCCCGGACTCTCAGCCAGATCAGCGAGGCCAGCGTGGACCTCCCAGCCGCGGAGGACAGGGACAGGGACAGGGAGGCCGCGGTCCCCAGAGACTCGCGTGCCAGGGAGCTTCCTGCCCCGGACACGGACTCCTTGCCGCAAAGCGTGGACTCGGCACTGGATGCTCCGATCAGTGAGGCTGGGGCGCCGGAGGCGGAGCTGGACGGGGCCACCCCCGTCGCAGAGGGGAATGGTGAGGACCCCACCTGCCAAGCTCCAGACGTTCAGGGGCCCGCATCCTCCCTGGCCCTGCCCACCCCAAAGGAGCTTCCACCAACTGACGTCTCGGAAGCACCAAGGCCCAAACCGGCTGACTGTGGGCTGGAGGAGGCCCTCTGCGTCCTGGCGTCTGCTCTGGGTGACTACCGGGGGCAGTTTCCTGAGCTACAGACCTTGGAGCAGGAGCTCAAGCACCTAAAGGAGATTCTCTTGGTAAGTGACAAAGGGACCCCCCCACCCCGGGGGGAGGAGAGATGGCGCCCTCAGGGCGAAACGCTGTGACCAGACGTTGCTCTGAGGTAATGCAGCTCATGACTCCTGAGCTACCAGAATTTAGCCATCCAAGCAGAATTCTGGGAAACTGCATAAACTGTGCAAACTACTTGGCCTGTGGGGGCGTTCACCTCGTGTCTGCCATTCGTGGGGTAGGAGACGGCCAAGTCCCACTCGCCAACTGCAGCCGCCTCTTCGTAGCTGCTCCCACCACCCGCTCAGCCCGCGGGGACCACGGGGATGTCCCGGGACCTGCACGCCACGTCCACCCTGCCCCTTCCCTGTCTGGAGGGAAGCGCCTGCTGCTCGCAAGAGGCCCCCACCCCCCGTGCAGCAGAGAAGCGCTAGGAGCAGGAAGGGCGCCTGCCGCGGTGCATGTCCCTCTCCCCCAGGCGTTCCCCTCCAGCCCGTGGGTGGTCGCAGTCCCCGCAGGTGCTGCAGGATGGCCGCTGGGGCCTGTTCTGTTCTTTCCGCTTCAACAGTACATGGCATCGGCAGGATGCCAGACCCTGACCCTGGACCAGCTACCTCCAGGGGTTTCTGCTGACACTGCCCCTACACATCTGGAACCAGGGGACAAGAGTAGAAGCGGTCGTTTTCGGATGCCCTGCACCCCCATCCTGCATCGTTCTGTTGGGAAAAGGGTCACGGGGTTTTTGTTTTGCTGTGTGTTTGTCCTTCTCCTTTCCTTTCCGATGCTTGGGAGTTGCAGCCGGAGAGGCAGGAAGCGAGGGAGCAGTTGGGGCGGATCGTGCGGCACAGGAGATTTGCTTGCAGATAACGGGACAGCTGCTGGAGCGGCCAGAAAAGGATATTTGCATGACGCTTGCTTTTTCTGCATTTCACAGCAGAGGCAGGGCGTGTGCCTCAGCCGGGCCTCCAGCATGAGCCTCACAGTGGAACACGCTCTGGAGAGCTTCAGTTTCCTCAATGCTTCCGACACAGAAGAGTCAGGGGACGACGATGACGGGTGAGTGCCCATGGGGCCAGCAGAGGCTGCTGACATTTATGAGAAAAGTGGGGCAAATGGGATCTCCTGCTCGGGGGGGAGACCAACACATGGAAAGGCAGGGGGGTGGGATTCAGATCCACATGGGGAGCAGGGGCAAAGCCACATCCAGCTTGGCAGCAAAGAGCAATGGGAAGGGAAAAAACTGAGGTTTTACCGGAGGAATCCTGCAAACCTTCACTGCCTTGGTCATGCAGCTGAGGCTTGCTCTCATGGGTGCTGTTTATGAGTGCAGTGATTTACCCTCACATGTTCCACATGGTTATCCCCAGAGAATAACTTTCTTAGAGGAAAGGGAATTCAGGGGAGGGAAGGGGGGTTTGTAGCACAACAGCTAAGAACATAAAAACAAATTGCCATGTGTCAGTCACAGAAGTATTCACCCTGAGTCAATACTTGGCAAAGCTGCTTTGGCAGCAGTTAGAGCAGCCAGTCTTCCTGCGGGAGTCTCAGCCAGCTGAGCACATCTTGATCCTGGAGTATCTGCCCATTCCTCCGGACAAACTGCTCCAGCTCTCTCATGCCAAAGGATGATAGTGTCTCCTGTCTCAGCTGTGGATCTCTCCAGCTTCTCTGGAACTACTTGACCTCTTGCTTGTCTCTCTGAATAACACCCTCCTCACCTGGCCACCGAGGCAAAGCTGTGGCTGAGCCGTCCTTCTTCCACTTTCTAATGATGGTTTTAACTGTGCTCCAAGAGATGTTCATAATTTTAGATTTTTTAATGACACAACCCTGATTGGTACTTCTACACAATTTATCTTGAAGCTGTTTTGATCCCTTCTTGGTTTTCATGGTGCTCTTGTTTAGATATGTTATCCAGCAAACTCTGGGGCCTTGCAGGTGCATCTGATGCAAGACTGCGTGGCCCTGAAATTGCAAACCGGTGGGCACCTTTCAATTACTTACAGGGTGTGACTTCCAAAGGCCACCAGAGTAACTTCAGGCATGTCACAGCAAAAGAAGTGAATACTTATGCAACCAATACATGCTGGTTTGTTGCATTTTTGTGCTCCAATAAAAATATTTTGCACCTTCACGCTGCAAACCAAGGTGATAACAATTGCAAGTAACCATTTCAATTCAAGGTTGTAATACAAAATGTGGACATTTTGGTGGAGTGCATGTGAATACTTCTGGAAGGCACTGTGGTGTGAGGCTGTCTCTTTTCTTTTGGAATATCTTCTTCTTACAAGAAACTCTTTTTTCCAACACCCGTCTTTACTGAATTTCTCCGTCAGCCAGACGCAGGTTCCTGGGCATGCCCATTTGCAGTGATAGACTTATGCCATGATGACGGAGGCAAGTCAAGGACCCTCACTGAGGGCTGCAGACTCACCTTTGTTCTTGTGCTCTGCCGTCTTGCATCAGATCTCAAAGCCTGAAGCCAGGAGCTCAGAGGTGGCTGCTTCTGTGAGGGTAACTGGCCCTCTAGATTAGTGTGCAGTTGGCTTCCCAGCAGCTTCTGTGTCTGGCTGGGGCTTTATGCCTGCTCCAGGCTAATGTTTCTGCTTGGCACGCCAAAGGATGCTGATGGCCTTTTGCACAGTGCTGATGCAGCTGCCGGAAACCAGCATCGAACCTTGAGGCCTGGAGTGGCAGGTGGCTCCCAGCAGGATATGCAGCAACACTGCCATCCTGTGGCCACTGTTTGATATTGCCTGCAGAGCATGCTCCCTCCTCTCTAAGCACAGGTAGCCCCTTGCGGATGGAGCAGGGTGTGTCTCTTGGAAGGTGTAAGGGAAGGTGAGTTCAGGAGCTCCCTTGAGACACCTGGCATGCTACACTGCCTTGCGCAAGGTTTTTGCCTACATCTCTAAGGGCACTGCTGGCTGGCGAATGCTGGGAATCATAGGAAATTTTCTGTTTAAACTCTGGATTGCACCTAAAATCAAGCAGCTTTCATTACTTTAATGAGTTTCAGTTTGTCCATTTACTGATCACTTAAACTTTGCATGTGGATGCTGTGTTTGTTTTGTTATCTTATTTGTTCCTTACTGTAAGCCATCCCAAGACGTGAGTGGTAGACAGGGTACAAGAGTTTTAAATAAATAAATGTGGGTAAAACAGTGTGCCTGAAGCACTCTCTATCCGTTTTGCTTTTTTAAAAAAAAAAAACTAGCTGATTGATTGGGAGACTGCTTTTTAGGTGGTAAAAGCCAATACCTCAGTTAGACGTTGCAGCCCCTGGTCAGGTTTGTGAAGCCTTCTGCTCTTGCATGCATGGCAGATCCAGCCACATTGCCATTGCTGTGCATCAGATGCTTTAAAGCAGGGGTGGGGAACCATTGGCCCATGGGGCCTCAAGTGCAGCCCCTCCCTGAAGCCCCTTCTCCTCCAAAGGAGGGGGCACAGCAGGAGAATGTTCCTTCCACTCACAGGCGGTGCTTTGGGGAATTCGCTGATTCCTGAAGTTAGGACTCGGCTCTGCCTGCTGAGGACACCGGACTCCTCTCTTGCCTTCCCCAGAGAAATAGGAGCAAAGCTGGCTTCCTGACCGAAGTGCCATCCAGAAGCGCTCCAGGCAGTTTCACCAAGGAACATGGCAAGGGTCACCCTTGACATCATCCAACCTGTGAGGAGGATGGGGAATCAGTGGAGCAATCTATTCCTGCAGCCCTTACAGTTCTTCTAGGTCTTCCTTGTTTCCAGGAGGGTAACGTCAGACTTACAAAAGGCTAAAGGCATGCTTGTAACTTGCCTGCTGCTGCTCTTCACAGGTTGGCTAACAGTGAACAGCCTGCAACCTTTGGCAGGGTACCAGGAGCCGGTGAGGCTGTTGCCAAGGCCCGCCCGGGGCGTCTGAGTTCAGGGGGCAGCTCAGAGCCAATGAGCACCTGCAATGAGTTTCTGGACAGGGCGTTGGTCCTCCATCTGAACCACTGCAACCACTTGCTGCTGGTGAGTGCCCCGTGAAGACTTGAGACTTTTCGGTGTCTTTTCGTGAATTGTTTTAAGGAATGTGTTGTTTTCTTACCCCTCCTCTGCCCGCCAAACAGGAAACTTTTCACTGCAAGGGTGCTTACAAAAATGTGGAAATAGGTACAAAATCAGGAATAAAACCGCATAGCCATAAAATAAGGATACGGATGTGAATTTGAAAGGGCAGCCCTGTAAGCAGGTTGGAGGGGAATGCATGATGCCCAGAGCCATCCATACTTAAAATTTGCTTTTGTAATTTTTTCAAGAGAGAAAAGGCGTAAAGGTCACTGTAGTTCATGGAAAAGGGGTTTGGGGAGAACATCCGCTGTAGACGGAACAGAACAGAGAAGGCCTGGCTAGTAAGCAAGCAAGCAAGAATAACTGGTAGATGAGTCCAGTATAGGGGCAAGTTAGGCTGAGAGAAGACACCCGATTCAGGTGCTCTGCTCCCAAGCGGCTCAGGACCCTGTAGGTTAAAGCAACATTCCAAATTGTGTCTGGAAATGAACGGGACTTGTTTGTTCTGCAGTAATCTGACCTAACCAGGTGACCTCTCAGTATTTGGGCTATACCTCCCAGCATTTCTGGCCGGGGCTGATGAAGGCCACAATATCTGGATGGCACCAGGGAAACCAACCTCTTAGTTCCCTGCTCCTTCGGGCCTTCTTGACAATGTGGCACCATCCAGATTGTGATGCCCCTCCCCGACCGCTCCCACTTCATGCCGTTTTCTAAATGGCCTTTGCTGGGGGAGCAGGCATTCGTTCCCCTCCTTTCTCACACACATGCATGCAGTTTAAAACCGTGCAGCGCATAAGCAGCCTTGTATAAGCAGAGTTCTTTGCAGTGTTTAAATAAATACTGGGAGCCATCCTGCAAGATATCAAGAGGGTGACTACCCGGAGGAGGGCCTTCTCTGTGGTGGCACCCCCATTGTGGAGCACGCTCCCCAGAGAGGTTCGCCTGGCGCCAGCGCTTCTTTCCTTTCGGCGTCTGGCCAAACTCTTTTTATTCTCCCAGTATTTTAATTGTTAACCTGTTTTATTTAGTGGCTTTTAGTGGTTAACATCGGATGCTGTGCAACTGTTACTCTTATTACTATTTTTATTTTAATGTATTAATTTGCTGTAAACCGTCCCGAGACATCTGTGATGGGATGGTATAGAAAAGTTTTAAATAAGCTAGGGTTGGACTTTCTCCCCTAAGAATCTTTGTCATTTGCTGTCTCATTCCTAGAAGCTGGGCAATTTCGGACCTCTCCGCTGCAGGGAAATGTACGCGCTAGACAGGCTGGCGAGGGAAGCCCAGGTCCTGGAGATGGTCTGCCGCCTGCTGGAGGAGCAAGCGGGGACAGCCAGTTCAGCTGGGGAAGGTAATAAAGAGCGGGCACATGGAGGGAGCGAGCCTGGGGCTGGCATCCTGTATCCACTTAGCTCCAGGGAGGCAGGGCTTCTCTGGGAGCCCCTGAGAACCCGCGTCTGTTTGCCAGGTGCAGTGCGGAGCAGCCCTGCCCGGAAGGGACACTCCACTCTGCACCCAACTAAAGGTGCACGCAAGCGGACCCGTCAGCAGCAGGCAGACTGTGTGTGTCCCTTTTTCCTGGGGACGAGCTCCCTTCCTTCCGCACCCTGTTTAGCAGAGACAGATGCATGTACCTGTGGCAGGATGGTCTCCTTTCTCCAGTGTGTCTGGCAAGCTGTCCACCTTCCCTTCAAAAACATTTTAAAAACATGCGTGCCTGTATTCCATATAACATTCTCGGATGCTGTTTTGAAAAGCAGCCTGCTTTTTGAAACATGCAAAACCACCCAGGGGGGGCGGGGGCAGTGACCTCAAACCTGCCAGCCAATCAGTGCGGCACACAGCTGCAGACCCACACAACTGTTCCTGCTCGTGCTCAGCCCGGAGAGGAGGAGGGCATGTCTGGGTGTGAGCATGACTGGCGCGCTTGCACAGCACGGGTGACCGCTTTTTCAATAGGCATTTGTTGGACGCTTCCCTGGAAGGAGGGGTGTGTGGATGGAGCATCTTAGAACTCAGATGGTGGCTCAAAGGGAAGGCCGAAAATGGTTCTGTGTGCTCTTCCCGTCCCCAGTGGTACAGTTCTCCACGTGCAAGGAGGGAGTCCTGCCTTTCTGGGACAGCTGTGTGGCCTTTCCAAATGTGTACACTTGTCCTGTAGAAAGCTTCCTGCAGACATTCACTTCCCGGTATGCGGCGCAAATCAACGAACGCCAGCAAGGCCTGGCACACCCAGGTGAGCGAGCTTTGGGCCTGAGACACACACCACTTTCCACTCGCTCTTCCTCCCCTTCTCATCTAAAAGACAGGCTGAGTGTCTCACATTGTGTTGTCTGAGCAAGTGCTACAGTTCAAGCAGCAGCTTCTTTGGCATCACTGGCCCTTCCGTTACTCGTGGGGCAAGGCCAAGTTGCTAATTCCCAGACCACCAGTTGTCCTTGGTCCCCACCCATCTTCAGATTGCATTGGATGCCGCTTGGATTCCGTGCTACAAGGGCTGCATGCCTGGGAATCTCTGACTAACCTACGGTCACTCAAGTGCTGAATTCTGGGCCAGAGATACATTTTCATTTTAATGGGGCACACTTATGAGCGAGATAGAGGAGTCCTTTCCAAAGCACCTGCAGGAATTTCTTTGGCATGGACTGAGTTAGGCATAAATGCCTTCAGAACTGACATTGCTCCCAAGAACAGAGTCTCGCTGTCCCAGGCATCTGCCCTCAGCAGACTACTGGGGCTCTTCCTTCCTTCCTGTTGGGTTTGACTGACCCTTGCTCTTTTGGATGCGCTTGCTCTTTCCTGAGGTTGAACTCTTGGTGGAGTAGACGAGAATGAGCCTCTATTCTACCGCCATGCCTCAACGGGACAGGCCAGCATCACCAACCATTCATTCCATTCATTTCTGTACTGCCCAAGAGCCAAAGCTTTCTGGGAGGCCACCAGGAATCATAGCCAAAGGGCAACCACCCTCCCCCAGTGTCTGGTCCTGGGCTCCGTCTTTCTTCCAAGTCCCTGCCACCCTCCAGCCCCACCCGGAAGCCCGTGTGTCTCTGCAAGAGCTTTGACTTTTGGTGTACGCAACTAGTCTTTGGACGCTACCCCCATGCCCTTCTCCTCCCCGCCACAGTTGGTGTGAAGCTGGTGGAGGAGCTTCTGCAGCACAGGCTGCCCCGGCGACGTGAGAGCTGCCAGAGCGAGCAGATCACCCTCTTCCAGTACTGGATCCACTTTGAGGCTCTGCCCATCCTAACACTGGACACGTACATCCTGGAGCTGACGGAGGAAGGTAACTTGTACGAATAAGGGAACGTGCAGGAAGTGCCCCCACACGTCCGTTAAGCCATCCTTGATAGCTGCAAGCAGCAGGGGAGGACTCATGGAGAGCCTCTGATCGTCCACCTGCATTGTCTGAGATGGGACATTCTTTGGTGGGGCCATTCCCTTGTATGTGTGAGACGAGAACCACCAGTTTTAAAAGCCATCTGGAGGGACCTTTGCAAGCCCTGGCTTCCATGGGAACATAGCGAGCTGCTTTTTGTTGTTTTCATCACCCCCCAACACTGGCTGGCAGCAGCTTTCCAGGGGTTCAGGCAGGATTCCCGCCTAGCCCTGCCTAAAGATCCCTAGGCTTGACCCCAGGACTTCCTGCGTGCAAAGCAGGTGGGGTTGCAGGTTAGAGCGCCCCAGCTGGATTTTATTTTATTTATTTTATTTATTTAAAACATTTCTATGCCGCCCTATTCGCCGAAGCCTCGGGGCGGTTCACAACATAAAATTAAAATATAATACATCCAAATATACAACAAATTAACAATATAAAATAAGTCGCCCTGGCCAGATAAAATAAGCAAATAATATTAACAATTAAAATGATGTTTAAATAAAAAGGAATCCCATGTCTGTCCTTACCCTGACAAGCAAAATGTATTGTTGCTCACTGTGGTGCTTGTTCTGCCATGCCCCTGTAGTGTTGCTAGCGCGGAACTTGAATTCGGATGACCAAGACGTGGTACTGAAGGCCCTGAAGCGGATTCCTGAGAACCGGCTGGGCAGGGATGGGCTGAACACCTTGAGCCTACTTCTCATCGAAGGAAACAGCAAAGTCGTTGGAGCTGTGTCAACGCAGCTGCGCAACCTGTCAGAGAACCCCATCTTCCGGGAACGGGCAAGTATCCCCTGAGCCTTTCCTGTCGTCAGGAGGTCAAGAGATACCTGCTTTGGGGTGCAGGTACCCTACACATTTTTAAGAGAGATCCGCCTGCCGCCGTCGTTATTTGTTTTTCGGCACCAGGCTAAGCCCTTTTTATTTCAACAATATTTTAATAACTTTTAACATCAGCTTGTAGGTTTTAATCTGCAGCCAGGGTGAATCTGGATTTTATTTGTATTATGTTTTGTTTTGTTTTATTTTATTTTATTTTTTGTAAGCCGCCCCAAGGCTATGCGATGGGATGGCATACAAATACTCTAAATCAATAAATAATAAACAGGCTGGGACCATGTTTTTGTTAGCCATGGATGGACACAGTGTGAGAGCACAGTGTTGTGTTGGTCAAGTGCCATTACTAGGGTTAAACAGGCAAGAAGCTGTGTGGTATGCAGAAGCAGGTGGCTTTGTATCGCGAACCAGCAGGCTGACGTATGTGTTTTCCACAGGCCCTGATTTGCTTCCTCGAGCAGCTGGAAGATGAAGTTCTGCAAATGCGAGTCGCTGCCTGTGCAGCTCTGGGCTGCCTTAAGGTGAGGGCAGAACTCTGCACGTTAGCTTGGCCAAAACCCTTTTCAGAGACCAGCTTTAGCTGTATTTGCAGTAGCAACAGGCAATCAGGAGTCCTCTGGGAAATGCCTTGCCCTCTGGAACTGCGTTTATAAAGCAGGAGTGCAGAACCTCTTTCAGCCTGAGGATCAAAGTCCATGTTAGAGAAGATTCGGGGGGCCACATTCCAGTGGTGGATGGGACCAAAGCTGCAAACGCTAGCAGCATATTTACCTTAAAGCTCTTCCTGCCAGTACCAAAGCTTTAAGAGGCTCTTCAGCCTATTGGCAGAGAGAACAAACTCCACAGAAGCCAGGAAACCCACCAAATGATCAGCAGCCAAGAGGAAGGAGTGCAGCCTGAACAGGGAAGCACCTGCCCAGGGACTCCCAGGGAGCCGCACTGGAAGCCCGGAAGAACCAGATTTGGTCCCTGCTCTTGAGCTTCTGCACCCCCAGTTTAAAGCAAGATTTGCTGCATGGAGGACATACCTGAAGAGCTGAGTCTTGCTGAGGACTGCCTTCGTTGTGAAGGCCTTTCTATTAAGGCCGGCTCACTTCCCTTGCAGGGGGCTCCAGCACCCTGGGCATGTCCTTTCACCTTCTCCCACCCTTGTAATGTTGCGGCTGAGCGGAGAGCAGGATCCAGGACCAGATAACCCGCTTTAATTCCCCTCAACAGGCCAAGGAGAGCATCGAGCAGCTGGTGTATCTGTGCCAAACAGACAAAGAAGCTGTGCGAGAAGCAGCCAAGCAGAGCCTCATGCTGTGTGGTGAGTCCCCGTCCCTGGTCCTGCTCGCGGACACAGTCCCTTCCCCTGCCCTTGAAAGCAGCTGCCCTGACAGCCTGCCGTGGGGTGAAGCTCTGGGTGCATGAGGTGCTGTGCAACCTGCACTTTACACTGGGTGGCAAGGGAAGACATCTGCTCTCTCTCTGAGCCTGGAGTATACAATACTGGGGTCCAAACACCCCACTACCCCTCTGTCAGTCTCTGCTGCAGCTCACAGCTGAGGACGGAACAGCCAGCTTGCCTTGCGTTGCTGCTTGCGCAGCGAGAAAACTTTGAAAGCAGAAAGTGCTATGCTGTTGTTGATGTCCTTTATTATCATTTGTTAGATGGCACTGAGAGAACCATCTGATTGGCTAACTAGACTTCCAAGTCATGACAGCAGCTGCACAGGTTGGGATGTGTTAGCCAGTCTGTGCTTCCCCCTTCCCCTCCCTGCTGCCTGTCTTTCCGGTGTCTTTTGTCCTGCACCATTATCCCGTTGGGTCTTTGTCTCAGCTATGGCAGTCCCCCAAGTTCGTAGGCACCTTTCTAGTTCCCGGTGTTACGGCTTTGTGTGTCTGTGTCTCTGCGGCAAAGAGCGTGGCACTGCTATCAAGGGGCTGCTCCACTGTGACGCAGGAAGCTGCCTTAGGCCAGGCCCAACGACTGGTGCATCTGACCCGGGGAGGTCTGCTTGGAACGGGACGGAGCTCACCGGGGTCTCAGGCAGAGAAAGGTCCATCCCGCCCCCACTAGCTGACCTCTCCAGCTAGGGATGGAACCCGGGTCTTCTACTTGCCAAGCGTGTTGTCCCATCCTGTCCAGACAGGCCCTTTAGCTGTGGGTGCAGGCATGGACCATTCCTCTGTTTTATTTCCAAGTATTATATACCATTCTGTATTCAATAAAAATTCCAAAGAGTGAAGAGTAAGAACAAAAGAAGCCAAGAATCAACAGTCAGAATTAAATCTTTAAAATCAAGTCATGCCAATGAAACTGTGGCTGGCCATACAGAGAAGTCTTGTTGAGAAAAAAAAAATATGCCTTCAGCAGGTGCCAGGAAAGAAATGATGCCAACAGGCAGGGAATTCCATAGAGAGGGAACTAATACAATTGAAGGCTCTGCTCTGAGTGGGATCCAGATAGACCACAGGTCCACATGGAACATCCAGGAATGCTTCATCTAATTTTGAAAAAAGATTGGTGTGCTTCTTGGGTTAAGCTTCTCCTGCAGCCCCCCAGTAATGTGCAACTGACTTCTGAGGGCGATGGCCAGTTGACCCCCTGTGGCCTGGGCAGGCCATCGGTTGCCAAGAGCATCCCCTGAAGCAGCAGCTTGCTCCTTTTTCCTGCGCCCTCGGGATCCCTGGATAGCAATGGCAAGAGGAGGACCCTTTGCTTCCAGTCCAGTCCTACCCACTGCGGAGCAGGGACCCCCACCCACATTGGCAGCTTCCTCCAGGGGCTTCCCGCCATCTCCCTCCCTCTTGAGCTATGGGACTGACCTTTTCCTGTTGGCAGTGTGAGTGGAAGCACATCAGAGTGATAAGGTGGCCTCATGCAAACAGTTATCTCAGTGGCCCAGGAGCAGGATTGCGTGTAAAGCCTCTAAAAGCAGCAGAATGCTGAGGACTTGCCAAGGGCATCATCAGAACCATTCCGAACATAAGGAGAATTGAGTTGAGAAGCACCTCTAAGGTTATTTGGCTCTGCCCTGTTCTGATACAGGGAATCTGCAGCTACGGGGTGCCTGGCGATGTCTCTGTCCTCTGTCAGGGTTTTATATGGGGCCAGTGTTTGGCTTTGCCAGAAAAGCGCTCTCTCTTCCTTAGGCTCATTCACAAGCCATAAAGTGGGAGGGGTTGCAATTTTGAGATGAGAAAACCCACAGCAGATCTTTTACCAGCAAAATAGTAACTGAGGCTTTTCCCTCTAAAAAAATTAAACATCCAAGCACCCCTGGCGACCATGACTTTCCCATAATGGCCTACTTTGACTTGTGTTGCAAGTATGCACTGAAATTTTGGGTGCGTGTTTGGAAGGAAGGATGAAACCACAATCCTTTCGCCAGCCGTGGCATGTGCCCAACCCACCCCCAATAATGCACCAAAACAAACCAGTGCGGCACCATTCAGGGGAGACGTTGCAGAGTGGCTGTTTTAGAGGAATTATGTTGCTGCCGCTATTACAGCAAAGCAAGTTTCAAACTGGGGGCAGGGCAGGCCTCTGTCATTGCTGCTGCTTTTCCAGTAAAGTCATCTGATCCTTTGAACATTTAGTAATTCCTCACCCCATAAAAAGAGGGATTGTCTTTCCTCCTCCCAGAAACTCCCTTGGCATTCTGCAAAAACAGTCCCGCTCTAGTTCGACTAAATTACCGTTTTAAATGCTTGACTATCATTTGACCATTCAGTTGGCCAAAGGGTGTGTTTTGACCAGTCAGGTGCCAGTTCTTACCCACAGTGCTGACAGTTTGATCTGTATCAGTCTGGCCTTGTCCAGTCCCCAAGCTATTTCTCCCCCCCACCCCCCTACTGCTTAGGACTTCCTATTTCTGTTCTCAGTGGGTTCATGAAGCATGTATGAGCATTGCTCTTCTTGAAAGAAACACCACCACAAGGTTCTGTCACCTGCACTAGTGCATCCAACAGACATGTGCTTCTAGGTAGAGGAATACATGAAACTTCCTCTCCTAGGTACTTCCTGTAAGTCTGGTTCCCATCTGCAAAACCAGAAGGATGTGAAGCTGCTACCTAGATATAGCTTAGGACAGTTTGAAAGCTGTCCAGGGAGTTCCTTACAGTCAGCTGAAAGAGCTCTTTGAGCTTGACCTGTGATGGTGGAAGAGGAGTGGAATGCAGCCATCCAGGTGTCTCTAGAACTCTGGAGGCAGCTGCTATTGTTACAGGCTGTCAAGTCGTCTCTGATTTACGACAACACTATGAGTGAAAGCCCTCAAACTGCCCTGTCCTTGACAGCCCTGTTCAGCTCTTGCAAACACAAGGCTGCAAAACTGATCCATCTCATATCTGGTTTTCCCTTTCCTTTGCCTTCAAATTTCCCTTGCATTATTGTCTTCTGCAGGGAGTCTCGCTTCTCATGATATGCCTGAAATACAGCAATCTCAGTTTTGTAATTTTTGCTTGCAGGGCGAGTTCTGGCTTGATTTGCACTGGATGCCCATGTTAGTCTCCCTTGCCCAGGGCATTCTCCTCCAGCATCATGTTTTCAATGCAGCAGGATACGTTACTTTACTATGAAGTATTGCAACCCTAAGCAACAAGTGTTCACATTCAAGCTGAGGCAGGAAAGGGACTCTACTGCCTGGCAGTCAGACAGGGGTATATTTTCATCAATTTTTCACAGCAGGATTGAGAAAAGACAGTAACATGGCAGCTTTCAGAAGTGGAGCCCTGAGCTCTCTATCTAAAGTGGATAGCCGTTCACCAGTTTGTCCAAAGCCAGAAAGGAACACACACAGGCACCCAAGCACTAGAACCTTGCAAAAATTGCCGGGTTTCCCCCCATTTCAAGATACACGGTGTTGTCAAGGAAAGCTAATGCAAACATTTGTGGCCTGACCTTTGTGGACTTCCGTGCAAGGCTGGGGTTCACAGTTCCCTGACAGGTGATTGCTATGTGTTTGCAGGGGAAGATGGAAAGTCTGCTCACCGACGGCTAGAAGAGTCCTTTGACAGCTTGCCCGGGATCTTTGCCCCAGGGAGCATGGCCAGCACTGCATTCTGAGTGGTGCCACACCGATGTACTTGCAGATCCTTTGTGGGCACGGACCTTGCATGCAGACCAGGCTCCAGCTAGTGTGCCATGGACTGGGCGGCTCTTTGCCCCTTGAAGCATGCACACACAGCAGTATTAGCGCCACCTGCACACTGCCTTATGCAGAGGATGCCTTTCTTAGCCCCACTGGCTGCTGCACCTGTGGAGTTAACGTGAGTACAGGACTTTGGGAGAGCCTCCTGCTCATTCCTCTTGAGGGGCCGGGCTTGCTTTCATTACCAGGCCCACAGCGCCCCTTTCTTGGGGGAGGGGGGACATCAACAGTTGAGCATTGCTGGCTTGACAGAATGTCCTCAGGTGCAGAGGCCCATCTCTCATTTGAGATAAGCTGGGGAAATGGTGTGTTCGAAGTCCCAGTGGCGTGTTCAACGTGTTCTCATCTTGCCCATGTCGTCCACCTTCTGGAGCGGGAATGATTGCAGAAGTTGGGGCTGGTATATCCTGCTGCTGATAGGCCGCAAATTCCTCTCTCAGATGTGAGAGGAAGGAAGCACAAAGATTACAGAAGGGAGTTATCTGTGTTCCAACTGGGAAGGGGGAAGAGATTGTATTCAGCGAAGATGCTCTATAAGACAAAAGGGACACGGAGAGTAGGGGCTGCCATTTTGGGGCTGTTTTATTGTTTTTTATTTACACATGGGAGGTTACAGACAAAAGCAAAAGTCCCTTTTCTATAAAATATCTATAAATTTATCTGTATATCTACATAAATATATATAAATATATATAATGTAATTATTAAGAGGTTTGGCTAATTTTGTCTTTAAGCCTGAAATAAAACAAAGTTTGAAGAAGTCGGTTGAGTGAGTGTCACTTTGTGAATGCTCTCGTGGGACTTCCTTAAGCAACTAAGGAAGTGAACTGTTGTTAACTTTCAAGTGGTCAAAACCACCTTGGATGAGCAAGTCAGCAAGTACAGCGCTGAAGTATTGGGCGTTTCATTTCACCACCTCTGAAACAGGAAGATGGGTTTAATTTTTCCCTGAAGCAAAGGAGTAATCTTGAGGCAACACATGCCAACAGGTTGCCCTGATCTTCCCACAGCAGAGGAAAGAAATGTGCAAAACTTGTTTTTGTCTGAAATATTCGAACCAGCCTAATAAAAATAAAACAATACAGTAAACTGAAAGATATCCATCATATTTTAATTGCAGCCAGAGTGGGTCGTTAATTAATTTATGTTATGTTAGATATTTGTATTTTATTGTGTAAGCTGTCCTGAGGCTCTTGCAAAGGACGGTATACAAATATCCTAAATAAAAAAAATAAAAATAAATTAAATATCCAACCCACAATCTTAAGTAGAAGAAAAAATGAGCAAATGGATAATTTGACTCAAGAAAAACGGTCTTCACTGCCCATTCAAAAGCAGATGTCTGTTCAGATGCTCTTCCAGGTCTGCAAAGGACCCTGGAAAATGGTGAGCGCTGTCAGACAGACTCTGATGACAGAAGATGATTCTTGAGATAATCCTGCTCCCAGGTTGAGGATTATTTGTATATGTCTCCAGAAAGCACTAGCTCAGTGTCTTTACCATTCTCAAATAGGCTAAGAAAATATTAAGGATTAACATTCCACGAATGGCCTGGGGATGCCTGATGCTGCGCCATTGTTGAATCATTGTCTGAATGGAAAACATTACACTCTTTTTGCAATTCTGCTTATTCAGAACTCTTCACCTCTGGGGCCCCAAGGAGAGCTGGGTTCTTCAACAAGGCTTAAGACACACACTTTTTACTCTGATGCTGAAACAAGTTTTTATTGAGGACGATGAAGTGTATATTAGTATAAAGTAAGAGAAAATCAAAAAGCCTTCCTATAAAATAAAGCCAGTGGAGTCTTCCTCAGTCTGCCACATCAAGAGTCAGCTTTGTCTTGGAATCCTCAGGATGGGAACCTTCATCCTTGAGAAGGACTCAGCCTCCCTCTTGGCACAATTGTTTTATGGAGTTTGGTTGCTAACACATTCCTGTGCTTTCTATATAACTGCCTTGTTTCAAAGTCCCTAAACGCACTTCCCTGGCTTACCACTGAATTAACTTGGTTCTGATTGAGATAGGCAGGGTTTAAAGGCTTCAGAGAAGGACTTCATGGCAATGATTTCCCATGCAGGAATTTCATGCCTTTACCCAGGTAGAAATGAGTACTCACTAATACTTCTTCATGCAGGTGGGGGTATTGCCGTGTCAAGGGAGGATCATTCCAGTGCACTGAATTTCCACCTACCTTCTGTGGTACAGCCCAGATAGGCTCACCACCTCAGTGAGAACCAAATCTGATGTCTGGTGGCCAGCATAGAGAAGGACCCACTGGCAACTGGTGAGCGCCATCTCAGCTCCTGCCTGGTTTTCCAGTCATTGATTATATTTATATCCTGCCTCTTTTCCTACAAGGAACCCAGGGCAGCATCCATAATTCTCCTGCTCTCAATCTTCTCATAACAACAGTCCTTTGAGGTAGGTTGGGCTGAGAGTCTGTAACTGACCCAAAGTCACCAGTTGGCTCCATGGCCGAGAGGGGACTAGAACCCAGATCGCCTGAGTCCCAGTCCTGCACTCTTAACCATTACACCACACGGGCTCTTTCAGGTAGGGGAACTAAGTTGTGATCTGCATTGGGCTCAGAGAGAATACATTGGCATGATCCAAGAAAACTAGAATGACTTTGGAAGCTTCCATTAACTACCAGGAAAATCAGCCATCACCTGTGCTAAGCACTAAAGCTTTCCATTGCTCAGCTGCCCCCTGACCAGGCACCCTCCAAATGTTATGGACTACATCTCCCAGAATTCTTGACCAATGGCTGTGTTGACTAGGGCTGATGGAAATAGGCTGAAAACATCTGGAAAGCACCACACTGGAGTAGCTTGGCTTAGCTGATTTTACCTAAGGAAGCACATGAAAGAAGCAAGATTTCCCTTGGACCAGCTTTACAGAGGGAACTAGGCAGGGTCAGCTTCAGATCTGAAGAGATCCTGGGCAAAGTACCTTCTTGTGTACTGTCCTGGGCCCTGGCAGGTTTATCTAGCAATGGAAGTAGGCAACCACAAAAACTGGGTCTAGCCAACTTTAAATTACACACGATGTCCTGTAGTAACACTATGTCACCAGGGTTGGGGGAGGAATCCAGGGTGGATGCAGCAGTGAGCCTGGCCAGGGTATTGGGGCCATTGCATAAGCTCAGGGCTGTTGGGTCCTGATAGCCACCCTGAGGGGGCTGTAGTCTGGGACCCATCATTCTTTCTAGAAAAATCTATCCTTTCTACAGTCATTTGTTTTCTTCCTACTGCACAACAAGCAGGAGAGAGCATTTCTTGGGCATGTGACTATAAATTTGGGGGTGGGAGGGTTAACCCAATCAAGTACCATCAAATCCAGCTTTTTAAAGAAATGGAAAAGATTCAGAGAAAGGAACTTCAAAATTATTCATAAGAACCTATGCAAGATTTTCTTAATAAATCTTTGCAATCTTCTTCATTTGAAAAGTGTGTTCATATGAAAGGTTTAGAGATAAAGTAGCAACTTCTTTCTGCAAAACAGTCTGGGAATCTTGAAGAGATTAAAATTGGACCAGCATATGTATAAACTTTAATCATGTTCTCCACAACAGGAACATACCTGTTGAGGGATTTTTAACCACTATACAGTGCAGTCTTGGCAAATAGTTTAACAGGAGGGTATTGCGCCAAGGATGGTCTCAGCTTCACTGGTCAGGGAAAGGCCTATTTAGCCAGGCAATCTGTCTCACACTGCAACCAACCAGATGCCTTCATGAATCTCAGCCTTCAAGCAGCCTTCTCTCACTGCTGGCCCTCAGTGACTTGCATTCAGAGGCAAACTGCTTCTTAAAACAGGAAATTGCAACTAGCAGTCATGATTAGCAGCCACTGATAACTCTGAATTTTCCTAATCCCCTTTTGAAGCTACCTAAACTTGTGTCCACCACGGTCTTTTATGGCAATGAATGGCACAGGTCTACAGTTACCCTAATAGAAAAGCTATTAGGTGGATCCAAAATTGGCTGCTAATTAGACACAAACTGGGGAAATGTAACTAGTAAGGTGCCACAGGGTTCATTAGTAGGCCCAATGCTCTTCAACATGTTTGTTAATGATTTAGATGAGCAAGTACAAGGAACAATAATCAGACAGTACAAAACTGGGTGGAACAGCAAACACCCTGGAAGACAGAATGAAGATCCAAGGCACTCTTGATCAGCTTGAAAGGTGGACTGAAAGCAACAGAATGACATTCAGTAGGGACACATGCCAAGTCCTCCACATAGGACTTCATTGATACAAGATGGGGAATATATAGCTTAACAAAACTGACAAGGAAAAAGACCTTGGACTTATTGCGGACTATAGGCTAAATAGGAGCCAATAATGCAATGCAGCTGCAAAAAGGGCAAATGCTATTTTGGGATGAATTAATAGAAGCATTACTTCAAAATCAGGAGAAGTAGCAGAAGTAGCATATTCTTCAATAGTCAGACCTCATCTAGTATACTGTGGCCAGTTCTGAGCACAAAGATTTAAGAAAGATGCAGAAAAATTAGAGTCCAGAGGAGGGCAAGAAAAATGATCCAGGCTTCAAAAGCACTACCCTATGAGGAGAGGCTAAGAGAACTGGGCATGTTCAGCCTTGAGAAAAGAAGACTGATGGGGAACATGATATCACCCTGTAAGTACCTGAAAGGCTGTTAAAAGTGGAAGGTCAATATCTCTTCTCACTCACACCAGAATGTAGGACACGGAATAATCAGCCTAAGATGTGACAACCCAGACTCAGGCTAGATATCGGGAAATGGTTCCACACTGTCAGAGGAAGACAACAGCAGCACCAGCTGCCTAGAGAGGTGGTGGACTCTCCCACACTAGAGACATTCCAAAAGAAACTGGACCGCCATCCTGAGTGGGATGATGTAAACTGGTGTCCTGCAACAGCAGGCGGTTGGACCTAATGGCTTCCTTGGCCCCTTCCAACTCTGCTATGCTATGATTTCATTGCTAAAAGAAGGGGCAGATCACACTTTCACAGGGAATGCTGATTTGATCTAGCAGGCTGCTTCTAGACTGCATCCCTGAAAAGTGGTTCTTTTTGCTGCAACAAACACCACAGGCATTCAACACATACCTAAGTGGGTAATGCTGTGGGTATTCATATTGTATATGATCTATCAGAAAAGAAAACCTGCATGGCAAAATGTTTTGGATGACAACTCCCATAACCCATGCCGATTGTTAAATTATGGGAGGTATAGCCCCAAACATCTGTAGGGCAGTGATTTGCTCACTCTGCTATACAGGTACTCTGAAAGTAGAACAGGTGTCTTTTAAAGTCAAACATACACACTTCTGTGGGTTTTACTTTCCTGTTACTAATGAACTGGCACAAATACCTTGCAGAACTACCAACTGCTGGCCCCAGTTCTGTGATGAGAGGTAAACTGCTTCTAACCAGAGCTCAACCCCTACACCCATTTTGGAAGTTAAGCACTGTTTTAAACTCAAGTGTAAATAGCCTGAAAGTGTAATCACTGGACACAAGTGGAGCAGCCATTTGTCATATTCAAGCTGGCTCTGACATTTTACAAGGATAAACACCTTCCTCTCACTTCCCCACAGAATGGACTGGGGATAATTTCTGCATATTGTTTCTCCAAAATAGGCCTGTACTGAAAGAGGCCATCAAGTCTTTCTCTCTTACTGTCAACCTGCCTTTTTATAGTGCTATGAAGGTAGGATACTTTTTCACAGCATATTAGCTGCACTCATCCTATTGACTTGAAGAGTAAATCTCCTGGTACCTTTGCAAGACTGCAAAATAGGGCTATACTGTTTTTTCTTCCCTCCCTCTTAGGGCACCTGTGCTTTAACAGCCCTGTGAGAAATTTAGCAAGCACAGCTGACTTTCTCAAAGCAAATTTACAATAGCAGTTGGAAGCTTTGCCCGCTTAATTTCCACATGTTGGAGGATTTTAAGTCTTAGTTTTATTTCTGGTTACAGTTTATGCTGTGCTATACTTTGTTGTTTCAGCTTTCCAAAGTTGTTCTTATTTGTCTGTATATTATTTTACTATGTTCAGCAAATTACCCCAAGAAATTTCAAAAAGTGTTCTCTAAATTCTTAAAAATGAATTCTATACAAACATAATATGGCAAAAAGTGCTGATGACCCAAACGTCTTATACAGCCAGTTGTCCTATTTAGTATTTGGGTATATTTACATAAATTTGCATGTGATTATTTATACGAGTAACACGTTTCAGCTGTATGACATCCGACCCAACCCAGCTTATAATTGAGGGAAACTTGGCTTCCCACAGGTAGCAGGAGCGCTAGCTGGCCTGAAGGGGGCGCCACGCGGCAGAACCACTCACTTGGCCTACTCTTGTGAAACTTACAGTATCTCGCGCCCTTTAGGCCCGGGCCACACGTGACAGAGCAATGGGCATGACGTCACCTCACGAGCCGCCCTCACGTCCACCACAAATCTTCCAGACCCTCCATTTGAAGTTGGCGCCCAGCGGCCCCTCCCATGATGCTTTGCGCGGCCGCTTCTCCCGCTCCCTCCTCCCTTCGCTCCTCTCCGGCGGCAGCGGCTGCCGGGCTCGCGCAGGCGTATTGGTCGCCTCGGCCGCCATTTTGTGTCCGAGGCGACTGTGGAGCGATTAAACCGCGAGCTGGTGCTGGGCGCTGGCGGCGGCCGCTAGCGGCGGGGCAGCGGCAGCAGGACCTCCGCAGGGCCCGAACGGGGCGGGGCCCGGGGCAGCAGGGGCGGCCCGGAGTCGCCTCCGGGGCAGGTAAGCGGCGCGGGGGGTTTGCAGTCGCTTTCTCCGGCCTCTAGGTGTCACGATGGGGCTCGGGCTGGGACCCGCCGCGGCGCCGCCGATGGGGAGCGGGGCTTTGTCTCCCTCTACCGTCCCCATCGCCCTGATGCCGGCCTGGTACTGCCGCCCATCGGCCTCCCAGCGCAGCGCCTCTGCCGGAACCAGGCCAGGCCTGGATAAAACGGAGGCGCGGCTGCTGGGATCGGCCTTGCACAGCCACCGCCGTCTTCGCGGCCGTCACAGCTAGGGCCTGTCGGGCTGACCCAGTTATTATTATTCACTCGGTCGCTATTGTGGAGGCTGCCAGCCCGGAGGCTCCCACCCACGCCAGAAAATGTCCCCATCCAAAATACTCGCTCGCCCCTTTCCTGGACGGGCCAGCGTATTTCTTCCCTTCGCGAGCCGCCCCGCTGCCCCATTCCGCGGCCCGAACGTGCCACCTCCCGCCTCTTCTGGCTTCCTTCTCGTTCCGCCCGATCGCCTCCGCCCCACGTCGATTCCCGCCTGTCTTCCCTTCTGTTCCCCCCCGCCATACCCCCGTTCCGTCATCTCGTCGCGGCTAACTGTCGCCGGCCTCGCTCGCGTCCTTTTCCCGTGGTTTCTGTGTGTCCGTCCCGCTGTCCGTCCCTGCCCGCCTGCTCCCGCCGGCCGCCGCCTCGCTGTGCGCGCTGCGGAGTGAGAGGCGCTGCGAGCGCAGGAACGGGACTCGAGCTCCCTCTTGCAAGGCAGGCTGAGCTGCAGCGCCATGCAGCGCAGGCGAACGCCAGGCGGGGACGCCCGAGCTCGCTTGCCTGCCTCCCTGCCCACCCTGGAACCGGGGATGAGCTCGCTCCGGGGTCTCCGTTTTCCTCCAGCTTTGGCTAGCGAAGGGTTTCCGGGAGAGTTGGGGTGGTGTCAGTGACTGGGGGGTGGGTGGCTTCACGAGCTTTCTTCCATTTCCCAGACCATGCCTTGGCTTCGATCCATTCCCATATCGACATAACATCCTTTCTGACCATATGATCCTTGTTCTGTTAGCACTTTTTCTCCCCCTTTTTTTGACATGTGTATAATGGCAACTGTGTTCTGAGACTGCCAAAAAACTGGGTCATGTAATTGGGAAGGCTCACTATTCATCCTCATGCCATAAATCCACAGAGGTCTGTGGAGAGTAAAGGGAGCTCTTCAAATCCTGAAAGAGAAGGGTCTGTTACTGCTTTCACTCTAGATCATTTTTAGAACACCATTTGCTTTTATCTTAAAGGGAGAAGAGGTAAACCTCAGATTGGTACAGTTCTTGTATTGATTTTTGTCTTCTCAAGCCTTTTAATGCATTGCTACTTGAATGGGTATGCTGTCAGTTTAAATAGAGCACATGTTCTGCTATTGTAAAATTGGTAGGTCTGTGTTGGCTTGGTCACAGTGAAAGAGAGTGAGATGGGTTTGAACAAAGCATTTAATTAAAATTTATTATTACATTACATTTCTATACTGCCCATAGCCAGAGCTTTCTGGGCAGTTTGCAACATTTAAGTCACTCATCCAAATTTCAGCCAGGGCCCAATCCTACTTAGCTTCCAAGATTAGGCAGGATCAGGCACTTAAGGCTATCAGTCATTATTAAGCCCTTCCACCCATTGCACTACACCATCAGGCTGCCTTTTTCTGAAATAGAAGGAGGCAGAACAGGCCAAAAAAAAATCCCTTTCCAGTTTTAATATGGTTTCCTGGTATGTCAGTATGGCTTGCCAGAGCCATCTTGACTTTGAGATTCTGAGCTTTTGTGGGTGTTGTACAGAATGAAGTGGACTGCATGGTGTTGGTGGTGATGTGACTTTTTAATTCCAAACTCACCTTGTATACATTAAGCAGCTTGATGTGGCTGCTACTTCTGTGGGTTGATCACTGGCCGTTATTGCTGGGTTTACTGTGAATGTTAAAATAATACTTGTGTAGTTTAGAAATTAAAGTCTCTCTAAAGGGTTATTCTGTACCCTAACTTTGTAGTAGTCTTCCGCATAGACCTTCGAGGTAGGTAGCTTGCCCCCAGATAACTTTTATTTTTTTTTATTAAAAAGTACAGTTGTATTGCCTTGTGTGGTTAGTCTGTTTCCTTTGCCGCCCTCCGCTTCTGATTCATTTCCAAATAACTGCATTAACTTTTGGTTTTGTGTAAACTCTGTTGTTTCTTGCTTTTCCTTTTCCTGCCATGAAAGCAGGTGGTATTTGCAATCTTCAGGCTAGAAGTGAACTATAGAAAATGGAGGGCAGGGAGTAAGCCAACCTAGGCAGCTCTTACATATTTTTGCTGAACATGATTTTTGAGTAGGTTGATGCTGGATTTAATACAGCAAACATGTGACTGCCACATTAAATAATTTTAGATTTATCTGTGCATTGTTATGCTATTGTAGTGCAGTATAGTGGAAGAAGACATGTCAATGTCTTAGTCTTAACTAAACTTTGCTGAGCTATTCCTAATATCAGAGAGATGGTCTCTCTAATGGCCTGATCATATGAAATTGTTGTGATTTGTTTAGCCTTAAAGTTCCCAAACTCTTAACCTAGATGGATTTGCCTTAGCTTTATATTTTATTCATTGTATTGATTAAATTTTTATCCTGTCCCATCAGGCTCTCCATGTGGGTTACAAATAAAAGTATACAATATGATAAAATAATATTCAACAAAACAATATTAATTTGAATAATTAAACAAGTAAAACCACACCATTATTAAACTTCACTGAACCCAAAATGACATAAAAGGCATAACTACAGCCAATAATTAGATATAAAATGTTTAAACCATTAAAATCATTTAACAGTTAAAATAACTGAGTAAATAAAAATGTCTTTGCCTGGCACTGAAAAGAATACAAAGATGATGTCAGGCAAACCTCTCTGGGGAAATTGATTCCAAAGTTGGGGTGCCACTATCAAAAAGGCCCTTTTTGTCACCCTAACCCTTATTTTCTGAGGACAGAGCTCCTTCAGAAGGGCCTCTGATGATGAAGTAAGGGGCCAGATTGGTACATGTGGGAAGAACTGCTCCTTTAGATACTCTGGCCCCAGGCCATTTAGGGCTTTAAGCACATGTGTTAACACCTTGAACTGGGTCCTGACTTCAGTTGGTAGTTAGTGAAGATGGTAGAGGACTGACTTGATGTGGTTATATCTGCCAGTCCTCATCAGCAGCCTCTCTGCTCTATTCTGGACCGATTGAATATGCCGGACCATCTTCAAAGGGAGAGCCACGTAAAGCACAGTGTAGTAATCCAGACAAGAGGTTACCAGTGCTTAAGTTGTTGCCAGATTCTACATGTCCAGCTTTAGGTCAGGTACCCATGCAGACTCCATCTCCAAAGGTCTGAAAATATCCAGTATCAATTTGTACTTTCAACTTAATTGTACTACCAAGGACTGAAGAGAACTTGGTGTTTTAAAGGAAAAACTGAATGGGTGCACCAAAAACAACCTTGAAATTTGCTTCATAAATATAGAAACTAACTTTAAATTTTTAACATCATATTTAATGTTATGATTTAAAATACTTTAATCTGTAAAATTCTTGTGTGTGAAGAAATGAATATTTTGTTTATATATCTTACCTTCCCTATTGTACTGTTTTACAGAAGTCATTACCAGCTAGTATAAACTGATGCAGTACTGGATTCCATTTAGTTCAGATTAATAAGATCCCAGGAATCAATCCCATATTTGCAATGCTTTAATTGCAGAATATAATGCAGTTGAGGAATCTAATTATGTTGAGAGTCCATTCCTCTTGTTTTAATTTTAAAGCACTCTAAGAGCCCTTAGTGCTTGCATCTTTTAAAGTGTCCCCAACCATATCTAAGGCACAGGGCTACCAATTACACACCCTCGGACAGTGGTCAGAATGCTGAATTTTGACATCTCCATTGGATGTCAAATTCACCAGGTTAGCATTAGACAAACTGCTTTTGGTCTCACCTACTCTGCAAGGTTTATGCTTCCTACCCAGGTTTTTATATGTAGTCCTCAAAATGTTGTTGGACTTCTATCAGCCTTAGGCAGCATAGTGAATAGTAAAGAATGGAATGCAACAGTGGCACAAGTTTCCCATTCCTTTTGTGTAACTAGAGCAAAATCAATGTTCTGAGTTTGTAGGAAGAGAGATAGTATATTTATGTGCTATACTTTTAAACTGCTCAATAACTGAACCTGGGTAGTGTACAGTACATTAAAATCTCTAGTGCAGATATAAAAACAAAGTAAAAGCACAGCAGGATAAAACTGGCAGCATAGAATAAGCTATGACAACATCATAAGCCAAATTAAAGTCAACAACATAATGAGCACTAAAAACAGTTCTTAAAATGTCACAGAATATAGAGGAATTCACCTGGCACTGGAAAGACCATATAGTAGATGCTAGATGATATGCTCTGGTAAAAGCATTCCATAACCAGGTACCACTACTGAGAAGGCGGTTTCTTTTGGAGCGGTCAGCATCACCTTATGTGGTGGAGGCAAATGGCAAAACAACTCAGTCAGTGATCTGACTGTCCCAAGTAGAAATATAGAGGAGGAAATGTTCAGGTATCCTGGCTGCAAATTATTTAGATCTTTAAATATTAAAACCAGCACGTTGAATTGGTCCTGGAAATGGACTGGCAGCCAGTGCAGATGAAAAAAAAATACTAGCACAATATGTTCAGATCCACTGATCCCTGTACACAGTCTAGCTGCCCTATTTTGGACTAACTGAAGTTTCTGAACCATTTTCAAAAGATTACAAATGTTCCTTGATTCATAGCTTTCTGTTCCTATTTTCCCATTGGTAAAGAAAAATCTACAAAATAGTCTTTAGAATAAAGCCAACAGACTGAGCAAGTTTTAGTACAGCATGGCTGATCTTACCTAAGTTATTGCTTGTTGTATTTGGAGTTCCTATAGTCATGCCCTAGCCTTAAACATGAGCATATTCCAAAATTCTCTGTAAAGCAATGT